CCCCCGCCGCCGCTGTCGCCATGGGGGTGAGTGAGGCAGGGAAAGGAGACGGGAGGCCCAGGGGCGCTCCTCGCTATCCTCTTCCCCCTTTGCCCTCATTGTTCCTTGAACCCCCTCTCACGTGACCCCGACCCCCTAGGCCTCCTCACGTGACCCCCAGCCCCCACATGACCCGACTCCCCCATTCTAAGGGTCTCCACGCTGGGCTTAGCCCGAGAATTCTCTGGGGACCCCCTTCTCCAGGGTCCACTCTCCGGGTGCCCCCCGCCCCTCGCGACACGACCCCCCCTTCCTGACTCGCCGACGGGTTACCGACGTCCTCACCGCCAGCCCCCTGCGCGGGCTCTGAGGTTATCCCCCTGTCGTCCCCGTCACCTGGCTGTCACCAGGTCCGCGGCTTCCCACATCCGAGGCCAACCCTGGCTTGGAGGGAACTGAGGCCCAGAGGAAAGAAGGCGCTCAGCCAAGGTCACGCAGACAGTGCCCGCGGCGCCAGACCCCACTCGGGTCTCCAGATCCCGGCCCGCGGCGCTTCCCGCTACCCGAGTCTCCGCGGAGCCGCTTCCCCTGGGCTCTTTCGAAATCGCTCCATCAGGTTCCTCCTGCTCTTGGTAAAACGTAATCTTCCTTGCCCACCGGGGCCTTTACGGCCTCCTGGTTGCCGTTAAGTGGTTCTTGTTACTATAATACAATACTTGGTAGTCTTGGTGCTGCAGGTGAGCCGGGGCCTGGGGACCACTGGTGTCGTCCGCACCTGCAGGTGGTATTGACCACCTGTTCTGTGCCGGCAACCTGGAGGTGCTGTGGTCTCCTTTCCTGGCTTGTGCTGATACAGGCAGAAGTATTATGCTTGTTTCTGTGAGTTCACCTTACTGAGTCCCTATTAGAGCAGTATCAGCCACTTTCCTAAAAAGATGACTGGCCCTCCCTGGGGCTGGTTTTATTGGTGTTGACACCACTTTTAGGGGGTCCCCGATTTTGGAGCCAGAGATCCTTCAGTTCAGCTGCATCTTGGCTGAGTAGCAGATAGTGTGCCAATAACATGACCTTTTCTGGACGTGAATCCCCTCCTTTACATAACTGCGATGTTGATACTTCCCCCTTAGGGTGGTCCTGAAGATGAAATGAGATAATGGGAGTATAGTCAAGCAGTGCCTAAGTCCTGGCTATTATTTTTGCCTATATTCTCAGCCTTCACATTAGTGATCTAAAATAGATTTGTGCTATTTTTAACCCATTGGATTTGCCCTTGCTGTTATTAACCTAGATGTTTTTCTCTCAAATATTTATTGACTAAACCCATCAGTTTATTAGACACAAGTAGTGGTCTAATCCATTTCAAAACAAAACATCATGGGCCTACTGGTGGCATGGTAGGTAAGGCAGCTGAATCTCCTATGGCCGACTGGACAGTTCAAATCCCAGACCAGTGGCTTGAGAAACACTCAGCCTGTGTGCAAGCATGCCCAAGAATCCTGAAAGGAGGGCAAAATGGAGAAGGGATTGTGGCATGATCATTCCCCATGGAGGGTGCTTTCTCACTCCCCCCTTTGTCTCTTTGGGATAAGTGCATATATACAGGCACACTGATAGACTCAAACAAATATCCTTGCTTCAATAAGGAATTTTGGATACTATGTAACTTATAAAGATATACATAGAAAAACAAGTCTAGAGATCTCAGGTATACTTAAACTAGATTTGGTGAAAGGTCCCAGACCACAGCAGTTGAAACTGAATTAAACTTGTATCTGTAGGATTAACAGGTGATGTGGCGGTTAAAGTGGCTAGATCCCACATAGCTGACTGCATGGTTTGAGTCCTGGACCTGGCAACCTGAAAATTGTGCCGTGTGTGTAGGTGTATGCATGCAGAAAAATCCAAGAGGAGAATGAAGGAAGAGGGATTGCAACATGGCCATCCCCAGGGGATGATTTCTCACTTTCTGTCTCTTGTTCTCTCTTCCCAGCAAGCACAGACACCAAAAAACAAACAAACCGAAAACCTTATGTCTGGGGCTGGCAGATGGCTTGGCGGTTAAGGGCGCTGGACTCCTACATGGCCACCCTCTCTGGTCAAATTAAAAAAATAAGTAAATGAGTAAATAAAGTTAAATAAAATAATTATTTAAAAAGAAACAAAACGAAACAAAACAAAAACCCTTATATCTCTATTCTTCAGTTCTCTAACCAGAATCAGTCACTATAGACTGACCCGAAAATAAGCATAACCTGCCATTCTGGTTCAGTACTTCCTCATTGGTCAATCATTCGATATAGTGGGCTCCGAGATACTGCATTGCTTGCTTCCTTTAGAGGTCCCCCTTTTTATGGCCAATGGGCATGTGTGCTTGCTAGAGAGAGAGGAAGACAGAAAGCAGTGCCCAGTTGCTCATGGTCATGTTACAGTCTTTTTTCCTCCATTTCTCCAACCCACTGGGATTTGGGGCATGCATGCACTTGCACCTAGTGTGATCTTTAAGCTGCTGAGGCTGGGACTCAAACTGGTCACCCATGTAGGATCCAGCTTTCTCTCCACAGCACTTAACTGTTGCCCTATAGGTCCAGCCCAAGGCCTGAGTATTTTGGGGGGGGGGATTGTTTGCTATAGGGTGCGTGTGCTTGCCAGACAGACAGAAAGCGAGAAATCACCCCCAGGGGGGATGGCCACACCGCAATCCCTTCTCCTCTGTTCTCTCGGGATTGGGCACGCACGCACATGTGCCTGACTACATGGGAGTCCAATGACATAGCCGTTACACTAACTGCTGGTCCCAAGGCCTGAGTCTTAATACTGATTGGCTTTACAGATGAGTTAAACAGTTCCTAGAAAGTCTGTCCTGGCAGCAGGACTTGAATTTCTTTTTTTTTTTTTTTAAGAGAGATTTTTGCTGTAGGGTATGTGCACTTATGGGAGAGACAGAGACAGAGGGATAGAAAGTGAGACATCACCCCCCAGGGGGGATGGCCATGCCGCAGTCCCTTCTCCATTCTCCTTTTTGTCTCTCTGCCTCTTGTCTCTCCAGCAAATGGACCCTTTCTATAGCAAAAATTTCTCTTAAAAAAAAAAAAAAGAATGGAGCCAGCAGATGGCATAATGGCTAAGTCACTGGACTCCCATGTAGTCTACCGTAGTTCACGTCCCGGACCGGTGGCTTAAACTCATGTGCTGAGCACATGTGCGTGTGTGCCCAAGATCCCAAGAGGAGAATGGAGGAGAAGGCATTGTGACATGGCCATCCCCCCTGGGGGGTGATTTCTTGCTTTCTGTCTCTCCGTCTGTCTTTGTCTCTCTGGCGAGCGCACATGCCCTATAGCAAAACCTCTCAAAATAAAAGAGGATTTCACCTCAGGGTGCGCTTACGGCGAGTTGGGGAAGAGAAAGACACAGTGAGAGAGAAAGTAAGACATTACCCCACAAGGAGAATGACCACATGGAAATCCCTTCTCTGTTCTCTTCCTGGGATCTAGGGCATGCACGCACATGTGCCCTGCCTGAGTTTCAAGTCACCGTGTCTGGGACTTGAACCATGGTTGGCTATGTGGGAGCTAAGTGATATAACCACTATGCCATCTGCTAGTCGCATACATAGCAGTTTTTGACAAGAAATGCTACAGTAATTGTAATGGTGATGTAGTGGAGGGAGTATGGACTTTAGGGTTCAAATGTGGATGTGAGTCTTGGATGATTTCATTCAACAGCTATGAACTGGGTACCTGCTTGACTGAGCACTAGTATACATTTGCAGATAAATCAGCCTCTGCCTCATAGGGTATGGAGTCTGGTGGGAGTATAAGAAGGGTGTGGTAGGAGGACCTCTTTGAAAACTCTACTCACTGGTTCTATAACCCTGAAAGTTATTTAACCTCTTTGCAGCTCAGATTCCTCCTCAGAGAAGTGGGTGCACATACCCGAGTTGTTAAAGGTTGAAATAGATTACTGTCTCTAAAGCACTTGTGCTGTGGGACCACTCAGATAGGCACTTAGATAGGACTCTGAGAGTCCCTATAAACCATTGTTACCATAAAGAATGTTTATATCTGGTTCATTGTATCATTTTGTCCTCACAACAGTCCCATAATAGTTGATGTGCACATTGTTGGCCCCATTTTATGGATTAGGAAACTGAGGTTCAGGGAAATTGACTAACTTAGAGTCACACAACTATTAAGTGACAGGTGGAGAATCGAATCCAGGTCTCTGGACTCAAAAGCCCCAGTCTTTTTATTATACAGAGCTCCCTTGGGAAAGGCACTTAACCACAGAGAGCTTTACTGCTGTTCACTGCTTATTTCCCATTTTAATTAGGAGAATTTTCCTGTGTCCTTGCAGGACAACCTTATCTCCTCAAGGAGGGGCGAAGCTAATTGTAACAGTAGGGAGCCACTTCTCCTAAGTCCTTGCTAGGTTTGAGGGAGAGCTCCTGCCCATCTGGTCCAGCCTGCCTCATATCCCACGCTGGCAGTGAAGCGCTTATGGGGCTCTTTCATTATCTTAGGCTCGGGCCATGGCAGCCCCAAGCCTCAGTCTGAGGATTGCATGGCTTGCCAGTTACACTGCATGAGTGATCCTATAAATCTCCTGGAGGCCTTCCTGCTGCTTGTGCTTAGGAGTGACTGACTTCTGCATGAAAATGAGATTCTATGGAGGGATCCTGAGTTTCAGTGCTTTCCGGGTCCTGGAAGTCACAGCTGCTTTCTAATACCTTTGATCCTTTCAGCTCAGTATTGTGTTAAGAGTGGGCATGGGAACCAGCAGTTAGTGTAATGGCTATGTCGCTGGACTCCCACGTAGTCGACCGCGGTTCGCGTCCCGGACCCGGTGGCTTAAATCTCACGCCGGGCGCATGTGCGTGCGTGCCCAAGATCCCGAGAGGAGAATGGAGGAGAAGGGATTGCGGCGTGATCATCCCCCCTGGGGGGTGATTTCTTGCTTTCTGTCTCTATGTCTCTCTCTGTCTGGCGAGCGCCCGTGCCCTATAACGAAAAATCTCTCAAAAAAAAAAAAAAAAGAGTGGGCATGTGGCTTAAATCTCACGCCGGGCGCATGTGCGTGCGTGCCCAAGATCCCGAGAGGAGAATGGAGGAGAAGGGATTGCGGCGTGATCATCCCCCCTGGGGGGTGATTTCTTGCTTTCTGTCTCTATGTCTCTCTCTGTCTGGCGAGCGCCCGTGCCCTATAACGAAAAATCTCTCAAAAAAAAAAAAAAAAGAGTGGGCATGATTTTGTTTGTTTGTTTTGAGAGTTTTTTGCTGTAGGGCACGTGCGCTCGCCAGACAGACAGAGAGAGAGACAGAAAGAAAGCGAGAAATCACCCCCCAGGGGAGGATGGCCACACCGCAGTCCCTTCTCCTCCATTTTCTTGGGATCCTGGGCACACAGGCACACGCGCCTGGCGTGAGTTTAAGCCACCAGGTACGGGCGGACTGCGGTCAGTTATGTGGGAGTCCAACGACATAGCCATTATGCTAACTGCTGGTCCCAAGAGTGGGCAGGATTGATTGCAGGGTGGAGGAACAGAACTCACATTTTTTTTTTTTGAGAGGTTTTTTTTTTTTTTTTTTTGCTATAGGGCACGTGCGCTCGCCAGACAGACAGAGAGAGAACGAGAGACAGAAAGTGAGAAATCACCCCCCAGTGGGGATGGTCACGCCGCAATCCCTTCTCCTCCATTCTCCTCTCGGG